TTTTCTTCTTCACAACTTCAGAATTTCCAAAGCAACATTGGTTTATTAGTTTTTATGAAGAAGTTGTATCTTCCTGAAGAAGGCTCATCATGTACCAAGAGATGTTACTCATTTGATACTGGCCCAGTTAGAATTAAAGCAAATACCTGCTATGCCTGAACTCATAAAGGTGTCTGATGGACAGGTAAAGACCCCTAATATTTCACGAAGTCTTAAGACAAAGGTGTTCCTTATCAACTGACAGGCAAACTCAAGTGGCACACTGAGATCTGGGAAATCTGTCCCTCCTGGCCATATTCCTCTGCTTTGTAAAATTAGTAGTCCAAAGTAGAAGAGGGATGCACCAGCTCCATTCTGAGGGACCTTCTCTGAGTTGCTTTGATACACCTCTTCTGAACATGTTCTGAACGCAAAAGATATCCTCCTTTGAGAAGCCAGTGCTCGCCATTAGAAACTTTCCTTACCAAAGGATTAAGATCCCCCACTGTTGCTCACAGGGGAAGAGGAACAGGACCAGGCATACCATTAGCAGTCCATGGTAAGTTGCTTAGTTATGTGACCCAAACCTGCCAAATCTAATGAAGTAACCTACCAATTTCCAAATCCCACAACAAGCTGGTATCTTGTATGTCCAGCAAATTCAAAGCATTCCAGATTTGGAATCCAGCATGCTGGATTTACTATGCACACACAGCTCTAGCACATGCAATGAGGCTGACATAGTTGGGATGCAAAGCATATACGTATCAATCACACATGCACAGCAGCTTTGCAAAGAAATGTATTGGACCTGCCAGTATGAGGTTGTATCTGATGCTCTTTCGCTTCCCAGGAGCATCTGAGGAAACATGGGTACATGGGGCAAAACCTACCATTCCCAGACCATGCAAAGTTCCTGGAGCTATCCTTTTCAGAACCAGTTCAGCAGTATACTGCAAAATATACACATACTCTAAAATGATTATTTAAAATAGGATAAAATCATACTGTGCTTCACAGGCATTTCTGAAGAAATCATGCTCAATCTAAATAAGCCATATATGACGGCTGAGAATGTATAAATGACACCACACATCAATAAACTAAACACTTAAGTAGTAATTTAAAAGACAGAATGCATTTCCAAATTTTAGAAATAAATCCAGTAAGTTCTATTATATTACACATTAACAATATAAATATTTTAATATACTGTAAAATGTATGTGTTCAATGACTCATGGTAGGTTTGTGTGCTGTGGACAACTGTCTTAACAATGATGTTTATGTGGTCATAACTAAGTTTTTAATTTAACACCCCATTAAGATGAGGTGAGAGGATTCACACCTCTGTCAGCACTATTGTTTCAAGTCCATCTCCATCTGGGTGCAGATTCAACAAGACACAATTTCCCCGATTTACAATGCTGTCACCCTGGAAGAGCAAACCACTTGCTCCTCTTCCCTCATGAACACACAATGAAAATGCAGGTGTCCGATCCAGTGTATTTGTTAATGCCACATCACTCACTAACATGCAGTAAATACCGAATGAATACAGCAGTATTTTCATTAGCTGGAGACATTTCTGGAGAGAGAATTTAGTCTTCCTGCTACACATTTCAGAAAAGAAAGATACTAAGTAAAATGCAAAATGTCTTTTTGAAACTAAGGGCAGACAGTCCAAAATTTTACCAAGATAAAATACACGTGCATGTAAAATGAAAATCCGTCCACAGGTAAATTAATTTCCATGGATTTTTAGTTGTTTCAGTCTGCCATCAAAACTTCCCAGTTTGAAGGCAGAAGTGAGTATTCAGCATACCACAGAACAGCCCCAGAAACTTCAGAGCAAAGCCAAAAGCTTCTACATCTCCTTGGGTTCTTTGCAATGAAGACAGTGTTGTGAGATGCAGATCAACTTAGTTCATACAACTATCGAGGACAGCTATGGATATTCAGCACCTATACTGCCTGGGCCTTCAGGCAGGGCCCTTTTGCACTGAAGATAAATCCTACTGTGTTTCTGCCACTGGCAGTCTTCTGACAGAGAAAAAGCCATAATTCAGTTGCTCTCAGCTGCAGCCATGAATGGCAGGGAATAAAAAGGTGAACTTCCACCATGCAAAGTGGGATCCTGCTGTGCACAAGCTCCTTGTGCATCAGTGGGCGCAAAGCCCAAAGAGGTCCCCATGGTCACATGAATCTTTGAGTGGGTTCTGGGGTGCAGGCCCAAAACTTCCTAGACTCAGAAGACAACAGCAGCCATGGGAATGACACCAGGAAGCCTAGAGAACAGGTCTGTCCCTCCCTGATCCTGCAGCTGTTCAGGTGCTCTACAACCAACCATGAGGATTTTGTCTTCTGCATAACATGGGGAATTTGCCTCCTGCACTAATTCTGCCCCTTCTGAATGTAGAAACTTCAGAATGTGAGCAGGGCACAGGTGATGGGTCTATTCAGGATAGTACTAGATTTTGCTTCTTTTCCTGGGTCTCAGAAAATCTACATTGTTGAGTAGCTTGTTACCAAATCAGGCACTTATTGTATGTACAGATTACATAAACAAGAAGGTCAATTTTGTTTCAAACCTATATGAATATGGTTCTGGGAGTGAATTAACTACTGATTGAAAAGTTACACATTTTCAGCTAGCTAATCATATTTTATTTCACTGCATGCAGACAGCAGTGCAATGAAATTAGATGTTTGTTTGTACATTTTGGAAAATGTTTTAACTTCAAGACTATAGAAAAAAAAAACAGGAAAAATTTAATGTATGTCCAGGTGAGACTGCTAAGGTGAAAATAATCAGGTGATAATAACTGAGTATACCTCACCAAAACAGAATTGCTTTCCCCTGATTTTTGACCATGGTTTTTCCTCAAAGCATGATCACCCTCCATCACAAATTCTTATTTTGAAACATAGCCTTATCTCTCATAGCATAAAAACAGTCTCACAGACCTAATGTTGCATTTGTTTACCCAGTATAGAAATACAAATACAAATGCTTTAACAAGCTTTTCTTACATCAGCTGACTGGTAAGAATACATACAGTAACAGTACTACTTTTTATGTAGAGAAGATACGGTATTTTACATAATTTTGGTCCAAATACATATTACCAGGTCATAAATATCTATTAGACTTGAATCCTACCTCAATATAGGTACTATGTATATTGAAAACATACGATTAATTCGGAACCATTTATTTTCTTAAGACAGACAGCTGTAAAAAGATACCAAAGATTACGAAACATTCATCTGTGAGAGGGGGGAGGACTGTGGTACTTCTACAATCCCTTATTGTTCTATCATATCTAATCCACAGTACTAGCGCCCATAATGATTCCCAACTGGTAAATGAACTACTTTGAACATCCCTGAAGCAGAATTGCTACCCACTAATGTATCAGCTAAATGTTAGAAGACTCCTAACTCCCCCATCTGTGTTTTACCTCCCCAGAGGGTAAATACATTGAACAGTGATTCCCTTGCCTGGCACACACTTTCCAAACCTTACTGGCAACTGTTGTGATTTCCAGTCCAAGCAGCTCTGCAGTCAAAATCACCGGTTTTATATGCTGCAAGGAACTAAACACCTACCTTATTAAAATACTGCCCTCAAAACACACTGTAGTTATGCATTGCCACTGTAATTGTTACCAGTGTAGTGCTGATAACATTATGGGTTACAGCTAATATCACGCTATTGAATTAGTACATCTTTTATAGTTAACTTCAGGAAATTTACTGGAATTAGGAATTAATTGTTTTGGGGGGGTTTAGGAAAAAGAAGTATCTGTAAAAAGTAAATTAAAATGCAGAGTACTGCATATTTCCCAGGCTATAGGGAAGAAATGTGTGTGTGTGTGTGTGTGTGTATGTGTGAACAAACAAACAAACCAAAACAACAAAACACTAAAATATTCTATCTGTTCTGTTCTGAACTACCATGTCACCCAGACG